ACTGTAAGATTTACACAATATTACGTCGGCATCGTAAGATTTATGCAAGTTTACGCTAAATTAATTTCCTGATGATGGAAGTCTGACTGTATATTAAAAGAATATATAAAAAAAGAACAAACATGGTAAACATTATAAACAAACAACAACAAGTAAACAAAACACTAATAAATGAAATAGAATTATTGAAGAAACAATTAGCTGAAAAAGAAGAAAACTTTAAGTTAAGAACTTGATATGCTGTTCACAGCCTTACTGAAAGTTCAGAATATACTGGAACAAGTTTAAAAACCTTAGAAAGATTTACTTGACCTAACAATGGCTGAGTAAGTTATCCAGAAAAGAATGAAATTGAAATTGGAAGAGTAGTTTTCAGTGATGAACTACTCCTGAAAACATTGTTAAAAGTTTTGGTCATGAAGCATTAAAATATGAAGAAGCTTTTGGTTTTACTTATCAAGAAAAAGAAGAATTAAAATAAAAGAATGCTCTTCTAGAAAAAAAGGCTGTTGAGTTACAGCAAACTAACCAAGAGTTGGAAGAAGCATTAGAACTAGAAGAGGAAACATCTGAATGACATTTAGAGGCTCTTGAAGTAGCTAGACAATGGAGAGTAAGGCAAAGCAAGGAAAAAGATGGCAACTTAGAAAAAGCTTTGAGAAAAATAGAAAACACTGTGGCATGGCAGAATTATTTAGCAGACAAGCAACTTCAAGAACTACCAGTTTTACCAAGGAAAGAAAACAAATTTAAACTCCTAATTAACAAAGTAAAGAACAAAGTTAGCCAAGTAAAAGAAATAACCAAAGAAAAATTCAATGCCTATATTTTACAAAATAATAAATAGTATGAAATTAGAATACCAGTTTAATGAATTAAAAAGGGGAGATTAATGGCATTGTAATTTCTGCCCTTTTGAAAGAGAAAGAAGTTTAACTGCTACTTACAAAATAGTATCTTACAATACAAGCAATAATGATTACAATGACATTGCTTATATTTGTGTTGAGTGTAAAAAAGCTCTTGATGATAATACTTTGCCACATTGTAATGATTGTGGTAGAATTATGAGAAGCAGGATAGATTGTTTTTGTGATTTAAGGAAAGATGAACCAGTTAAAACCCCAACCATAACAGAAATAATGGCACAGAGTTATGTTGGCAGATTGGAACAGCAGAATAAAGACTTAAAACAGCAACTATCCAGTGCTAAGGAAGAAATCAGTTCTCATTTGGAAGCCTTAGAAGTTTCAAAGGATTGACATAATAAGCAAAAGCAAGAATTATTGGATAAAATTCAAAGACTTGAAAGTGAAGTTGAACAGTTAAAGAGACAGCAGACTCAACTAATTGCACAAATTGAAGTTAAAGAAACTAAAAAATGACCTTGCTTGAAAATAAAAGGTAATTAAAAATTAACAAAGTTGAAAATAAAGTAATTATTTGTATTAGTTTTTATTCTGCCAGTTTTCTTTTTTTTCTTAATTCTTTACTAGAATTCTCTAATACTCTTTTGAAAATTCTTTCCTCTTGATAAATTTCATAAGTAATCCTTTCTTTTCTTAGATAAGCTTCCAGTGTCCAAGTATCATTTATTTTGAAAATGTAAGGAGCAATTTTTTCACCATGTTCCTTTTTTAAAATAATTCTAATGGTACTGTAATTTTTGGGTTCCATAGTAGATTTAATATAAATGAGTTTCATATTAACTATTTTTATATAGAGGTAATTCTATATATCACTTAACAAATGGGCATCATAAACTAATTGTGATGATAATAACTAAATTTTGATCCCTGAAATTTTTGGTAATACCAATGTTCACTTTGTCTGATTTTGTTGCAGCATGTCCCATATAAACTGATATAAAATTTTTGTGCGTTTATTATGTAATTAACACATTTAGGGTCTCCGATTCTTTTGTCCAGGCACTGTAAATGTTCAATATGATCATAAATACCTTATCTGCGACTTCTGAATTATCTTCAATGGAATACGATGACATTTTTATAAAAAATTTTTTGATAATGTCACCGATTAAATTTGGGAGAGCGTGTTTTAATTGGTGATAACAATTATTTTTGTTTTTGCGTGTATCAGAATCAACGAATTGATTTTGGTATCAACGAATAATTTTGGTTAAAGAAGATAAAAGTTTATTTAAATAAAATATTACTATTTTATTTAGTTTTATTTAGTCGAAATTAATTAACTTGTAACAAAGTTTTCCTTAGTCGAAACTAATTAACTTATTGCAAACTTATTAAACTAAGACAAAGCTATTACAAAGTTTTCCTTAGTCAAAACTAATTCATTAACTTATTTCTAAGTTAATTTTTATTATGAAACTTTAAGACAAAGTTGTTTTACAAGCAAGTCGAATTTGAGCTTTTTTTATACAATTAAATTAATTAGTAACAACTTCATTGTAATCTAACATTCCAGCCACGATATCGCACTTTAATTACGACGTAACATTATAACCGCGACGCTAATTCCTAAATAAAGCTAACTTTATACGAATAAAAATAAAAATGTAATAAGAAATAAAATACAGTCGAACCTCGTTATAACGGACATATTGGTTTGGTCTCAATGGTCCGTTATAACGAGGTATCCGGTAACCAAGGTAATTGATGATCATCACGTGATGTTTTAAAAATAACTTTTTTATTAATATCAACAATAATAAAATTGTACAACATAATAATAATAATTATTATTATAATATAACTGATATGATGCTATTGTCGTTTGGTAAAATAAGAAGTTAATTTTCCTTGGTTTAAACTTTTAGAATTATACAAATTAATTTTTTTCTTTAATGCATGAAAAACTTTGAGTTCATTATAATCTAA